GGATCGTTCCTTGCTCCATCTTGAAGTATTATAACGCTTTTTGATTTTTACGAGCAATAATAACACTCGAATCATGATACTCGGCCGGAAGGTACGCTGTTTCAAAGATTAGGGTTTCTCATTCTTCTTCGTTGATTCGGCCGTATGAAGGTTTTTCTTGGAGAAATTGATGGCGAATCTGGATTTGGAGTGCTGTCTTAGGGTACGTACATGTTGGACAATGATGATTTGGGCTGGTTTAGAAGCGGCGCTCACAGCGGCAAGCTCACCGGAATCAAATATAAAAATTTGTTAGATTACCCTTATTTTTTATTATAGGAATTAATTTGTGGTTATCCGATTATTCGAAATTCGTGATTCACCTTTGCTTGTTGAGATTTGAGTCTTATGCAGGTTTATTATGCGGATGCGCTTGAGATATCGATTGCGATTTATTTTCGCTTCGATGATGCTTCGACACTTATTCTGAGCACTTGGTTTCTGACTCTTTTCTTTGATTGGTGAAGCCTTTCGCGAAGATCGTCGGGTTTCTTTATTCTGATAGGCTTTGCTATGGATTGATATTCGTTTGGTATTTTCCCTTGTTTCTCTCATTTTAGTATTTTACTATTTTTTTTAGATATCATGAGAAGTAGGAAATAAAGAGCGTGCGCTCGAAGTCACTGTTTAAAGACCTGTAGCAGGCATTCCGCACTTCATTCGCTATATATGTTGTTCTTGTGTTTGTTTACTTTATTGTTGATCGATGAGCCACTCAATTTAGAGATTGGGATCACGACTTCACTCTCAGTGCATGCTCTCTATAGGATTTCATCGCTTTCCTTTATTTCTTATTGATCAATGAGTAACTCAATTTATAAATTGAGATCACGACTTCGCTCTCATTGCATGTTCCCTATAGGATAGTTTTGTTAGACTTTCTTTGGTATGCTAGCCTAGATAGGATCTCTCTAGTTGTCCTCTCTTGAGCTAGCTCTCTGGAGCTTATTGTCTTACCTGTTTGATTTCATCTTTGTGTGCATGTTGTGAGATGACATACCCTCGGCATGTTCCCTTGGGAGCTCTCGATTCAACTATAGATGATGATTCGAGATAGACATAGTTTTAGGTGATAGACCCTTTTCTATGCTCCTTTAGGACTTCTTGATTCATCTATAGATGATGATTTGAGATAGACATTAGGTTTGTTATCCAAGCATGTCAAAATAGAGTAGAGATTTCCCTTCAAAGCTCAACCTTAGGATTAATCATTGTATGATAACATTAGGGATAGATCTAGGTTAGTCTCCCTTAGATGTTTTCTTTTCTTTTGCATCCTTGCATTTAAAATAAAAACTTTATCTTTCTTTGAAAAATATTAAAACATCTAATAACTTCCAAATCCTTCTTCAAGGTAAAAAATATCAACCAATGCAAACTCTTTTTGCGCCTTCGGGTTTTTCTTTCAAACTTTTCAGAAAGAACATGTTAATTCACTTCTGTGTTGACGCGTAAGTCTCCAAAGGTCGAGTCGCGGAAGAAGGCGAAATTAATATTGTTCATTAAAAAATACAAACCAATAAAAACTTTTGAAGCCGAACTACGACTGCTCTGATTCCTTAAAAGGGATACGTAGGCATTGGGGTAGGTCCCGAGCGAGCACAACTTTTATTTTCCCTACATTATTTTCTCCTTTCTTTTTCATGCATTCCATGTACAGCTTAGATATAGATTTTTACACACCCATTAAATTAGAATAACAAGAGTGGATATAGTAGAGTACTACGGGCGTGTGGGGTGCTAATACCTTCCCCTCGCGTAACAGACTCCCTTACCCGTATCTCTTGGTCGTTCGACCTTGATTTCACCCTTCTCAGGTTTACTCAGTGTTTACATTTCCCCTCTTGTGGGATAAAAAACGTTCGATGGAGACTTCATTGATTTCATTATCAGTTGATTGTTCATCTGTTTGTTTCACCCAACCCGTTCTTCGTAGTGTTCTTCAGTCCTATACTCAGTTAATTGTGAATTTAAATCCCGTTTGAGTCTGGAATCTTTGCCCTGTTATTCTTGTGATGGTTCGGATACTAAAAGTTTATTTTGAGGAGGCAATCATTTTTTTAATATTTTCTTTTTGTTGAGGATTTGTAGCAACCTCTTTTTTTGATTTTATTATCCCTACCTTTTGCCTGAACTGTTTCTTTTGTGATTACAGTCAGCGGGATGCCCCAGTTTTTTTCTTCTTAAGTCCCCTTCATAGGTTTTGACTTAGCGGGCCTTTCTTTTGAAAAATAATGACTGCCTGATTATGCGAAACCATCGCCATCTTTTGTTTTGGAATGATACCTCTGACTATACTTGTCGCGTACAAGGGGAAAGCTTGCGATTGAATGCACCATTGAATTAACTGAGAAACTAACCTGCCCCAGGTTATGATTAAGGGTTTCAATTTGCGTAAAAAAGAAAACTCCTACTTATTAGGCTCAAAGGGGTTGACTAGGGATTATCTTCCTTATAACTCCATTGTTTAGGATTTGAAACAACGTTTGTACATCATCAGCAAGGTCTGTTCAAAAGAATACTGTAGAGATTATGGTATATTTTTCATCATCCTACCTCTAAAGGCTTACAACTTTTAATCGTGAGTCGAATATCACAAAAAGGAAGTAAAAGCATAATTTCGGTATCGTGAAAATGAATGGATTAATTTAAGACAAACATATGCAATGCATTAATGGAATAACAAAGTTTGACATAAAATAAGTGTTTGAACAATCAAAAGAAATTACAATTTGAGAATTCAAATGAAATAAATGCTCTCAATCTTGGCCATGATTCGGCATGGGAGCAGTGATCACATTGGGAGCTTAGGAGAGTCAATTCAATCTCCTTGTTGTCAATCAAATGTTGAATCTTGTTTTACAAAGACCAACAATTGTCGGTGTCGTGCCCAGGACTATTAGAATGGTAGGCGCATTTCGCATTCGGATTGTACTTAGGAGATGAGGTATCAGGGTTTTGAGGAGGATCCCTTAGTGTAATCAGTTCCGCTTTTAGAAAATGGTGTGACGCTTGAGACAATGGCATATTAATCTTAGTGTACCAACTTTCTTGAAACTTTATCCTACGCCTATTTCCCTGTTGTTGTTGAAAAAATGTAGGATTAGAAATTAACACGGCTCCTACTGTTGGACGATGTTCAGTCTTACCCTGGTTTATCTGGTCATAAGCAGCACTGACCTCTTTCTTCCCAATGAAGGGTTTCTTCATTGTACTTGAAGATGCATCCCTTTGAATCTTACTGCTCTTGATACCGGCTTCTAGTCTTTCACCTATCAATATCAGCTCAGTGAGCCCAGCTGAAGAACATCCAATCAAGTGGTTGAAAAATGGACCAGACAAAGTGCCCAAGAACATATCTACCAGATCTCTATCAGACAGAGGAGGTTGGACTCTTCCTGCAAGATCTCTCCATTTCTGGACATAATCTTTGAAGCCCTCACCAAAACCCATAAACATGCTTTGAAGTTGTGTACGGGTTGGAGCGAAGTCGGTATTGTATTAGTACTGCCTATAGAAAGCAGCAGCCAGATCCTCCCAGGTGCGGATGTTGGTGCCCTCCAGTTGATAGAACCGCTCCAATTGAGTCCCCGATAAAATTTCCTGGAATAAATTCACCCACAAGTTCCTATCATCAATGTGAGGTTGGATCTTCCTAACATAAGACCTCAGATGCAGTTTAGGACATGAAACCCCGTCATATTTAGAAAATGAAGGAACCTTGAACTTTGGTGGGATGACCACTCCATAAACCAACCCTAATTCTTCAAAATCCAGACCAGGTACCCTCTTAATTTCCATGGTGTTGAGATGATCCTCCAACAGCTTGTATTTGACATCGGCAGGAGGATACTGCTCTTCAGCATAATCAGCCTCTTCTTCATCAGACCCTGGACTATGGTCTTTTTCTTTTGTCCTCTCTTCCTGGTTGTCCCCCTCATTTGACGGAGTTGCGAATTCTAAAGCTCGCTTTGATGGTCCTCTGAATCTCCTTCCCATATTCAGGACACCCATTGAATATGGTATATACAAGAAGAAAAAACAAACAAATAATTAACAAGCTCTAACAAAGAGAGCACACACAATGCATGAGTAGTGCATACTAACTTAAGTCAAAAGACCTAACCAAGATATCGAATCATCGAGGTAGGTAAAATAGGGGGGAAGTTCCTGACCATAGATATCTTGTCATCTAGGAAAGAAGGGGTAATTAAAGCTACTCTTAACCAAGGTATCGTATTATCGAGGCAAGAAGTGAATAGAGTGAGGAAGTGAATATCCAAAGCGACTAAGCACCTAACCAAGATATCAAGAATATAGGAAAGAGATAGAAGACAATATGAACAAACACGGAGCATCAACGTCGATCAACATGAGCTCAAGACAAAGCGTGAGGGTTTTTTTGTAGAACCCTTTTCCATCTAACCGACTCGATAACATGAGAAGCACATTCCATAGAATCAACGCACAATGCAAGCTACGAACGACACATACTAGAAATGGTGGGGTCGATTGCAGACCCTGTGTAGCCTATGCCTCCTTTTGAGAACTTATTAATGGGGAACGGTAATGGGACACCTCCATCGAGGTTTTTGGCAGAAATATAAACAAACAAGGTGGTAAACAAATAAGCACGAGTAGAATTGCCTTAAACAGGTCTTTAAATAAACCAAATTTGCCTTAAAGGGACTCCCAGAACATGCATCTATAGTCCTACTTCTCATGACATCATAAAAGTGGTAAATAACCATGCATATTTATTCCTACTTCTTATGGCATTAGAAAAGCGGTAAACAAATGCATAAAAATAAACCAGAAATATACCAGACGGATAAGCGTCTGTTATATAGTGAGTACAAGCCAAAGAAACCCAGAATACTTCGAGCGAGCTAGCATCAACAACAAATCAGATCAGATACAATATACAATACAATCATCCAATATTACAATTCGAAAATAAATCACAAGTTATGTGCGTTCCAAGCTAATGTCCTGCACCAAGCAATGCTACACAAGAAAATAGTAAAAAAATGAACAAATGTGTCGCAATGAATCGCCTTCTAAAACTTGCACAATGTCACAAGAAGAGTTAGAAAATAACAAAAAATATCAAATGCAACTCAACAATCAACGTCACGACTCAAAACGACATATTATCATGCATGAAGCAAAACCAAATAAGTAACGGAAACACAAAACCAAATACGGGGCAGCATGTGCATCATAACATAAATCGCACGAAATATCAGTCCAAAATTGACACAGCTCAATGCAAATATATAACAAAGACCAATACAAGTGCAATGATGCATAAACCAACAATTAAAACAAGTTCGGGCTGCAAGTTAGAAAAATGGGGCAGCCCTACCATTGTATCATGAATTAACCCGAAAAAGCACCAGAATCAAGCCAACTCAACAACGATAGTCCATAATCAAACTATAAAGTGAAAACATGCATCATATGAATATTAAAACTCAATGTACATGTTATAAAGAAAATAGGACATCATTGCGTTCAATTTTAGTTGCACGAAAAGTCGGAACAAAAACACACGAAAACGATACGATAGCTTCCAATCACACCAATAATCTCAAACAAGTATTAACCACTAATTAAATCCAAGTGCAAGTGAAACTTACCATCTCCGAGAAGCAACATCCCATACCAAAACATTACACAAAATATCGATCCGAAAACGGTAAAACTTAGCATCAATCATCATCAAATACACAAGCAAACTCAAGTGAACCTTCATCGGTAACTGAAATACGATTTGCAACCTATTTACACTTCCCAGGAAGCAACATATGTTTGAACTGGTAATGAACAAAAATGAGCTCAAAACTCATATGTGTGTGCAAAAATGTTTACTGATTCAAATATCGCTGCAATGGAAATTATAAACAAGTTACAAATGGAAAAGTCACATTAAAATAAGTGTTCTAAACCTCAAACAAAGTGAGTCAAGTGTTAATGCAATTTGCCGATTGAAGACGTTTCCAATGTTGCAAAAATCTATTCATCATTACAATCAATCCGAAATTGCATTAACTCATGAGTTTAACGTTAATTCTCAACAAAAATTCAAGATTCCAAAATTCCGGTATAAAATTCGGCATCAAAAGTCATTATCCAAAATCCACATCAATTCACCCGTTCAAGCATTAAGCATATTCTCAAAATGTACGACTCATGAAATTAATTAAAATCAACTCAATGCTTATGATCAATTTAAGAAGAAAAACAAATTCATGAATTCACATAACGTTCAACCAATTCCACTTCTCAACATTATGGAAATTAATTCAAGAATCAAGTATTTTGCACAAATTCAATATAATTCTCAAGGTTCAAGTCATGTAAACAATATCTCAAGCAATGTTCAAGAATTCAATTTTTATTCACTCACAAACTCAATCCATATCATATGAAATTGTCTCAAGCATTTAATCAAACACCTAAGCTTCAAGAAATATTTACTTCAAGTTAACCTCAAAAATTCTATTCAAATCAAGAATATATCAATAAATCTCAAGTAATCAAAGAGTATTTACCGAAGGAAATAAAGAGGAGTTTGGAGAAGATCAGAGGATTGTGATCGGACGAAAAGGAGTATGAAATAACGGCTGAAAATGATTGGAAGAGGGAGGATCGGCCTCGCATCGTTGGATAGTGATCGATGAAGGGTTGAGCGCGGTGGTTCACGAAGGCTTTGATTCGTCGGCATAAGGCGTTGCTAGGAAGCAGCAGACCAGTGACCAAAGGGAGGAGATTGGAGGAGTTTTGATGAATTTATGATTTATGATTTTTGAACTCGTTTGGAGATTGTTAATGTTCTTGAGAAAAAGTTGAAGAAAAGTGAATTTGATTCTTGAGAGATTAGAGAAAGATTTGTGAGAAGCTTTTGGGAAATTTAGCAAATGATTTCTAACTCCTTGAATTGTGGAGAGAAAATCAATATATAGTTCCACCAATTGGACCTTGGATTTGGATTTGATTTGGGCCTTATTTTGACAGTGTCAGCAAAAATGAAATCTCGACTCGAGCCTTGAACCAAAAATGAAGATGACAAAATTTGTGACGCGATGCCGAAATAAAGGACACGATACAATAAAAAAGAGAAAGTTGGCTATCGGAGAGACGAGAATTTCATCCTCAGACAAACTACTTTTCAGTTTCAGATTATTTCATTGTTCCATTCGCGTAATATACCATAAACGGAAGCCTTCGAAATACCGTTTGAACTCGAGGTCTGAAGAAAAGTTGTAGCTCATAAAATTTTTTAACTCACGCTTTAATAATCATCCCGATATTGTAAAAATCAAGAGAGTTATTTTTTTAACAATGTCGAAAACAACAGTCCAGTAGAAAACAGTTTTGGCATGCAATTTTCTCTAGTAATCCGTATTTTTGGAGACCTCTGCAAAGAATTAGCTCCTGGCCCGAACATACGGATCAAAGATAAAATCAAGACGGATTTTTCTCCCAAAGAACCACTCAAAAACATCTAACCAAACAAAACTTCTGAATTTTTGAACATCTGAAAAACAATGGTTCAGCACATTATTTTCACTTTTTTTTTCACCATATAGCTTTTGAATACTCACACATTCGGAGATCTTCCTCAATGAATTGGCTTCTGAGCCGAACACGAGAATTGAAGGAAATAACAAGACGGTTCAAACGCTCCAAGTGGTACTCAAAGATGACTTTCCAGTCAAAAGTTACGAATTTTTAAGCATCCAAAAATAAGAGAAACGGTAAATCCACTATATAACACATTTCAGGTGTTTTGCGATTTAGAAAATATTCCTCACAAAATTAGCCTTCGGCATGAACAAATGTTGAAGAAGACCTCAAGACGGTTATAATGCCTAAAGAATCATTCCCATACCATTTTCTTATCTCAAGTTATGAATTTCTGAGCTTGAAATGCACCATACTTAAAATTTATCTGCACTGTCTCAAATCAAATGAAACACTTGACTCTTTGCACAATTCAGAGCGAGTTGGAACGCATGAGAGCTTGGAGTGATGATAACTTTATTAATACCTGATTGGATAGCCTGGAACACGTGTGACGTGTATTTGAATCCCAAAAATCTTGAGTTTCGGCTTTGCTACTGCCTGACAGAACCCTTGAACTTGAGATGACAACAAATTATGATTCGTGTTGTTCACACTTGCCAAAGTTTGAAATTACTTGCTGAAGAAGGCATTGAAATAAACACGTGAACCTATTTCAAAGAGTCTTGAGAAACAAGCAACCAAACTCGCCTTAACCGGGCATAATGAAGCTTGAAGACAGTACGATCTCAATGCAATATGATGCTCTGAGATGATAGAAAATCTTAGGGGAAAACATTGGGGTATAAAATTGTCCTTATTTAAGTGTCTTCTATCCGGAGTGTAGAGACTGGTTTTTAAATCAGAGCCGCCACTATTAGTTTTTATCCTAGGGAAGGGAATCTAATAGAAAACCCTAATTCGCAGACAGAGATTCTTGGTTTCAGACTTCTTTAGGCGAAAGGAAGGTGTTAGGCACCTTTCATCTACCTTGTTCACAAGGATATTAGGTTTTAGGTTTAGGCTCGAGTAAAACAGGATTTACATTTTATTAGTGGAAAGGGTTTAATTTTTTATAAGGGAAAGGTTTAAATTGTTTATAGGGGAACTCGCCACGATTTTTTATCGTATGCCTACGTATCCTCTTATGAGGAATCAGAGTCCCAATTCGTAGTTCGTATGGGGTTGGTGTTTTTTAGGGATTGCAAACGTACTTTGAATCACCTCGCATTTTGGCCAAGAGTAGTGATTGCGGAGATTTTGACTAAATGTGCGGTAAGTCAAAATCGGTTTGAAACCCTTTTGCATAAAAAAAATAGTTGATTAGATTAGTTAATTGCGAAAAAATAGTTTGAGATTTGTTGCGTTTTTTTTATTGTATTAATTGGGAAGAGATCTTGATTAATGCATGGTAAAAAATATTTAATGCAAATAATGTAAGGAAATAATATGTATTTTGAGTGAAAATAATTTACATGTTAATATATAAACAATAATATATAAAAAATTAATAATAATTATAATTATAATTATTATAAAAAGAAATTAAGTAATAATAATAGTATATAATGATAATAAGAAAACATAATTAAAATATAATAATTATTATAAAAAATGTAGAAAATAAATAATTACCAGGGGGTGTCGTTTTAAGTTGCTAAGTAAAACAGGAAGTGCTGAAAATAACTTGAATTAGGCCCAAACATGAGTCCAGACAGGGGAGGTGTAGTTTACTTTGTGTTTTAGGAATTTGCAGCAAAGGGGGTGTCTAAAGAAAACGGGCTTGGCCCATTAAGCATTGCAAAGGGGCTGATGAATCGAGTGAGCGAGGGTGCACAGAAGTTACGATGGGACTTGGCCTTACGGTCGTCCAATCATGATCAAGCGGACAAAAATGAGTGTGCATGTTAAGTACAGTAGACGCGCAGTTATTGGATCTAAACAAAATATAATTTTGTTTTGTACATCATTATGTTCTTCATTTTCAATTACATTATTATTACAGTTTTCTTCCTCTCTCTCACCGTATCCCTTTCACCCCTTCGTCCTTCTCTCTTCCCCGCACCACTAATTCAGTAACCTCGCGGCATCACAATCGTCCCCTAAACCCTTATTACTCTAAATTAACAATAAAAAACAAAAATCAAAGCTAAGTGCATGCCCTCCAGAACGATTATGTTTTCGGATCTCTGAGTTTCGAGCTTTTCCAATTCGCTAATTATTTTGTCTTCTTCTGGCTTGTAGGTTCCGATGAGGCTTTGGCAATGGTGAGGCGATAATAAGAGGTTGAATATAATGACACGGCAGAGGCTATGTTCTTCTTCTTCTGTATTTTCACCTTTCATCAAATTTGTCCCCTTGGTACTGTTGTTCCCCCCTGTTCTCAATTCTTCTTCGCGGTTTCAGTCTTTTTCCTTTGTTTCTTTGTTCTTCAAATTCACCTCTGTTCTCCTTCATTTTCTTCTGTAATCTCCAATTTTTTCTTCCCTATAATCGACCCCCCCCCCCCCTTTTCTGCATTCTGTTGATTAGTATTTATAGGGTTTAAGTCTTATGGCTGCTACGAGTTGTTTAGCATGGATTTAGGAATTGTGAATCATTAGGGATTGTTAATTGATTTTTGTAATAGATTGAGTTTTTTAATTGTAATATATTTTCTCTGCAATTTTCTGGATTTAGTATGTAAAGATTTTCTGTTAATTTGGTTGATATTATTTTATGGATTTGATTCATTAATGAATTAGGTTTAGAAGATTTGATTTAATGAATAGTTATTCTACAGATTTAGTATAATCTCTGTTTTGTTTCATTGTGAAAAAGAAATATATGACTTTTAACAAATCCAAACAGTAAGTGTTATTGCAAAAAAGGCCTGCGTAATTTTGGAAAATTAGAATAGTGATTGTTTTTCAACATTGGGCTTTACATTATTTTTATTTGTTTTACTGTCCAGCTCTGTTACGTTTTGAAATTGAGCCTTATAACAAAATTTTCTTCAGCCCAACAACCATTGTTGTTACACACTTTTTCTTTTGATACAAACCAGACCCAACACTTGGCCCCTTAAAACGGATTTTCAAATAATAACAAAATATTTAATAAACAACAAAAAATGTTTCCATAATAACGTTTTGTTTTGAAAAACAATAAATGACAAGAAATATTAATTGGGCTTAATAATCCACCAGATTTTCTTCTAAACAACATCTTTAGTAAACGGATTATATGAATGAAAAAATTATTATAAAAATTTACCAGCATAAAATATATTACGTTTTTTTTAAGAAATATATTCATTTATTTTTGTAATAACAAAAATTTTTACTACTACTACTTTTTCCTAAAGCAATATTAATGGAAAACCACAAAATTCATTAGCCTTATTAGAACTTTAATGGGCTCTAATTAAAATTCCACACCTTCTTTTTGCTAACAACAACCAAAACATTAATGGCCTATTTCTAATGGGCTTGTATATTGCAATTTCAACCTCCCCTTTTACTAATAACATTAACACTAAAAATGGGTTTTATTAATTAAAAAAATAATTATTATTTGAATAATTTTCCATTTTCGAATCGCATGGGCCATAGGCCAACATGCCTTGCGAATAGGTTCACGAATACATGAGTCTCTCTGATTTAGAAAGCCCCGCTTTCCTGAATTAAAATATACCCCCTAGTCTTGGATAAAGATGGGTCATCAGATATTGTTGAACCATCTTTAATTAAATATCTCTTCTATTTTAATCTTAAAAACATAGTCATCGAGGTAGGGCAAATTTGGGGTACGACAACTTCCCCTATTCAATTATCTTCCAATCGAATAGCGTGAGGGTACATGATTCTTATGCATTCTGATTGGGATTTTATTGAATACTTGCAATACCTAAAATTTGTCCGACCAATCATAAGGTTAAGCTGATGTAGCATACCCTTACGAGTCTCGATGAAATAGGCGAAGCTGATGATATGTCACTTACCAGGGTTTGATAACGAGGCATGGTTTTGAACTTTGAGAGTGTAGTTTTGTATGCCTTGGTTTTGCTTTAGCTTGTTCATTCATTTGGGGGGATGAACAAAACTTGATGGTGCATGGATGCTTAAAGACTGAGGCCATGGGTTATGCTCGCAAATCGCTGCGTGAAGTCTGAGGCGATAG